TTTTCTTGACTATTGCAAGGAAATAAATTCAGACACCATAGCATTTAATATATACCATGGGGTAGAAAAAATAGAAGACACCCACCCTGATTTCCATTAGATAGGAAACCCTGACCCAAAATAATTTAATTAAGCCTAGTCTACTTCCCACATTAATAAAGCAAGCAAGCATTAAAAGCCAATGTTGACTTCTCTTAGGATTTTGGCAAGCTCTGCCAGATTAAGCAAGGAAAAAAAAACTTACTTCAAAGTGATGGGGACCCAGTGACACCAAAGGTCAGACAGGCTCCTGACTAAGTGAGGCAATTGAGTCTTTTCTTCACATGGGTTCAGACTGTATTGACTCTCCAGTACAGTTATTCTTCAGGTTCTTGTTTTCTTTATTAACTAGCAGATAAATCACTGAGTCTGTAACTCCTTTTGGTAAAAGTAATGAAAAAGCAACTGGAATTGAAGGAGTCAAATTCAGTGTCACCCATTGCTCTAAAGCCCATACTCCCTGCCCTCCTTCTGTTCCAGCATCTGCACAATGAGGAGCAGTGAGCTTCAGCCACCCAATGGACTGAAGTCTAAAGCTCTGCTCATGACTGTAGGATTAGGACTCAAAGCATGGTGCACTGGACAGGAAAAGATTGTAAAGAAGATAATAACAAGGTCTTTCCCAAGGAAGGATGTAAAGTTTCAGAACAAGAGACTGAGAGCAGGAAGTACAGAAACCATTCTTGGTAGTGGAAGGGAGGACTCACAGGAATTCCTCATCCCCTCCAAAGCTCCAGTTCCCAGGTGGCTTTCTTTTGGAACTCCAGGTATAATGTGGTAGGCAATGTCATTTGTTATAAATCAAACACAGGGTGAGAAGGGCAGTACTTCCCAGGATGTTCTGACAGAATGATCACATGTATTCAGGAGCATGTGTGTGGAAGGGAGTCTGGGGGGCATATTAAGAGAAAGCCTAATGGTTAGGGAACTGGGTAGGATGAAAAGGGCCCTCAAAATATAACCAGCTCCTAATCCCTGGAACCTGTGGATTTTAACTTCTATGGCAAAAGAGACTTTGCAGATGTGATTTGCTAAAAATTGTGAAATGGAGAGACACTTTAGGACTAGACAGTAAGCCCTACATGTAATCCCAAATGCTGTTCCAAGAGGAAGACAGAGATTTCACTACAGAAGGAGAGAAAGCAATGTGTCTAAGGGAGTGGAGACTTGAATGACTTGTCACAGACTTGGTAGCCACCAGAAGGTAAGAAAGGAAGAAAATGGAGCCTCAAGAAGAACTGGCTCTGCCAACACCTTAGCTTCAGCTTGGTGAAACTCAATTTAGAATTCTGGACTCCAGAACTGTAAGAGAATAATGTGTGTGTTTTGTTTTGTTTCCTTTGAATATCAAGGATTGAACTCAGGGGCACTCAGCCACTGAACCACATCCCCAGCCGTATTTTGTATTTTATTTAGAGACAGGGTCTCACTGAGTTGCTTAGTGCCTCACTTTTGCTGAGGGTGACTTTGAACTCACAGTCTTCTTGTTTCAGCCTCCCGAGCTGCTGAGAAAATGTGTGTGTTTTTTAAGCAACACAAATCACCAAGTTCACAGTCATTTTTTATAGCAGTCATAGGAAACCAATATAGGAATGATATGAATAGCAAGGGAAAGAGCACACTAATTTATTAGCTGTTTCTAATAGGAAAATGTGGGAGGAATGGAAAGAGGTCTGCAGACTGCTAAGGAAAGGTGTTAGAAAAAAAACTAAGAAGGGGGTGCTTTTCAAGCACTGCCTCCAAGTATGGAAGGGGTATTGATAATAACAAAAAAGAGTTTCTTTTTATCGTAACAAAGCCTTTTGCTTTTTGTGGTACTGGGGAATAGAACCCAGACATGCTAGGCAAGTGCTTTACCAATGAGCTGCATCTCATCCCATGTTATTTTGTATTTTGAGTCAGGATCTCACTAAATTGTAAATGCTGTCCTTGAACTTGCAGTTCTCCTGCCTCACCTACCCAAGTCACTGGCATTACAGGTGTGCACTGCCACCACTCCTGGCTTGTAATGAAGTGTTTTGCTGTGCTTTCAGGATGACACCCATCCTTGCTTTGGCATGTAAAAAAAAAAAAAACACATGAAAAAATAAAGTCTTCAATTAAAATTTATTTCTGACAAAATGTTACTTCTTAAATGTAATTCTGAATGGACTTCAAGGCACCTGGATTTTCTACTAGGGATTTTGCAGGAATTTATGTGACATTTTGAGCTGCCTCAAAGAAGCATTTTCTCCTCACTATTGAAATAATAATGCAAAAGGAATGCCACATTCATTAGACACAACCTGCAATTGCTTTGGATTATTACCAGGAACCCAAAAGAAAATAATAAAGAGAGAACAAGTAGAGGTCACATTTTAGGATTCAGGATTTTTGTCAAAGAACTGTACTTGGATGCTTTTATACTATTTATTACCACTGAAGAAGAAAGCTTCTTCCATATGAAGCCAGAATTCATTTTTAAACCTCCTCAACAGTCAGATGCCCTTTTATAAGGAGAAAAAAAGAGCAGACAACTGTGGTTTAGTTGAAGGGTTTTCCCAATTCTACCCTCAGAGACTTGATTGCCCAGTGAAACTGCCTGACCACAGCTTCTACATTCTTAAAAAAGAAAAGAAAAATCATAGGAGCACTATGCTAAGGAACCCAAGGGAGAAGGAATGGGTCGGAGTCCCTGAAATGACACAAGAATTGATAGAGTTTGAAAGACTGAGAAAGTCGAGTCCACAAGGACTGGTAGTAGAGGTTATTTATAGATTTGATCACAGACTGTCTCGGTGCCTTGGACAGAACATATGGCAAGGTGACGAATACTTAAGATTCATACACTGAATTCATAAGCACTAATCAACAAGGTAGAGAGAGAAATAAAACATGGCATGGAGTGAGAGACATGCAAGCATAGCTTTGCTTTTTGGTGACAGAAGACAGTGCTTTCACCATCTTCCTCATCTTACTCAGAACACAGACCCTGAAGGAGGAGATTAAATGTTGATACTGATGCATTCATCCTTTTGGAAAATTTCAAATTCCTCAGCTATGCTTTTCATAGAACAAAGGTTGACTAACAAGTAGGTTGAGTAACAGCCTGTCTTCTGTGACACCAGAGGACATCTCATCTACCCACTTTAAAAAAGGGGAAAAAAATGGAGTGGGTTGATGTGGGATGAGGACTTGAATCACCCAAGGAAAAGCTGGTTTCCTCTTGTGAAGCATGTGAACTTAATGAAAAATAATGTAGAGAACATTATTCATCAGAATGTAAGTTACTCATTAAACAAGAGGTCAGACCCTGCGAGGACTCCATGTCCCAGGGAAGTGAATATAGGAGGGAGACGACAGAGTAGATTACAGTTTGGTGTGACTCAGTGATGGAATTGAAAAGGTTAAGTGAAAAGTATTGTTAATGGAAAGAAAGATAATATATATATATATATATATATATATATATATATATATATATTTGCATATATATGCAAATATATTTGATAATATATTTATATATATATATATACATATATATATACTTGTAGACACACACACATATATATACACATATTTCCATCTATATTTATATTTCTACCTTTATCTATGCCATAGTTTCCAAAAATGTGCAAGGAGTCAATGAATCAAGAAGAAAGGATGAAGCACCAGGTTTATAAACTATTTCCCCTAAACCTGAAGGAGCAAAAGGAGGGTTTCCATTTGAGTTCCTCCAAATATAGTAAGACAAGGATTCCAGGGTAAGTAGTTCATGAGACAGAGGAAGAAAGGAAGTTAGGAAGAAGAGGAAAGTTAGGAACTGAGTCAGAGGAGGAACAGCTAGTAATAAATAGGGTAAGATCAGTTCCCACTGTAGGCACTGGGCACTTAACACCATATGAATGCTCTGCAGGCTGATATAAAGCACAAGCCATAGGACTGGGTGCCCTGGGCCAGGGACTGAACCGTGCGCTCCAGCAGGGCAGGGTAAGGAGGGTATCCTCATGGAAGAATGACCCAATTAAGGGTGTGAGAGGCCAAAAAGGGTGAAAAAGGCATTCATGGAGCAGGGAAGCCCACTGTGGAGAGTCAGAGCCCAACAAAGAGACAAAAGAGGATTGGACAGCCTGGAGTGAAAAGGGAGAGCCTCAGCAGAGAGAGGAGATAGCTATACTGTGTGGAGTGGGTGGGAGGGTCAGAGCCAGCTTTCATATCAGGGATGAATCACATAAATAAATTCACCAAGAATCTAAAATTCAGGTTTCTCACTGTCAGAAGTACAAATTAAAAAAAAAAAAAGAGATTAGTCTAGGTGACACTATGGTGTTATATTGGAATTAATGTCAGGGGTATAAATCATGGATTTATAGAAGGATTCATACATACACAGAAATGTGTGTGTGTGTGTATATATATATATATATATATATATATATATATATATATATATTTGCACATATATATACTTGTAGACACACACACATATATACACACATATTTCCATCTATATTTATATTTATACCTTTATCTATCCATCTATGAATCTATCTAGATAGATACGTATCCCCAGCTCTGACTGGCCTTGGAGAAAGAAAATTCCATTAGCAATGACTAATCCCTAAATCTTAGATTCTAAAATCATTTTCCACTCAAAGAAACCAGGGCTGCTGGAGAAACAGCTGATCCGATGTTGGGACAGGGAGAATTTAAGCTGAGGATGGAAAATATTGTTCTATAAAAAGGGAAGGAAATCCTAAAAGAATGATGGAGATATGGCATAAAGACACAAGACCCAGTTTGACTGGGCTCCCACTGGTTAAGGATAAGAAAATTTCAGCATCAAAACATAATAATGATAGGAGCAAAATTCTACTTACTCATCAAATAACATAGGAGACCATGACACCATGCAGATATAAATGAACACATGGATAACTTGAAATTTTGAAGAAGAACAGAAGATATACAAAGGTTCAACCTACTTTCCAATAAAGTATTTATTAACTGTAAAGGAGAAAAGAGTTGCTTTACAATGAAGAAGTTTGACAGACACCACTTTAGTCAAGTAATTAAAATGAACATTTACAGTCATGCAACAAATAAAAATTGTGAACTGCCTGGTGAAATACAATTAAAAGAGCACAATATCATTTCTATGTTCTTTCTGACAAAGGTGAATTACCTTATTTTGATCAGGAAGAAACATCAGACTGACCCAAACAAAGGACATTCTATGAAATAACTACTTGTAATCCTCATAAAAGCCAAGGCCACAAAGTCTAGATGGAGGAACTGTCCAGACTGAAGGACACTACAGAGACATGGCTATTAAACGCAGATGGAGATCCTGAGCAGGATCTTTGGCTACAAAATACATAATGAAGACAAAGGGAAAATCTCAAATACAATCTGGGAATGAGATGGTAGCAATGTATCAATGTTAAAATTCCAATATTGATGACTACATCATAGTCTTGGAGGACAGTGTTCTTTTTTGCAGGAACTACATACTTTTCAGAGATGATAAGACATTAGATTCAAAAACTTGCTCAGGAAAAGAGCAGTCCTTTTACTGTACTTCTATTTTGTGAATTTGGATTCTTTCAAATTTCAGAAAGAAGATGAAAAAAGTGGCTGTCCCACTCATTGCACAAGGTCATTCAAGAACAAGGTCAAATTTGCAAGCGCCAGCAAAAATCATCATTTCTCTGCCCCAGCAAAATACTGTGAGGTATTTTCAGGTGCTGTGTATTAAAGTTTATTCTTTAATTCTTACTACTGCTAAGATCTACTTAATAAATGGCTCTTCTTAAAACCAGTTTTTATTTCACAGAAATTTCATCCTTTAACAATTCATTTTGAAATGTTCGATGTTGGGAGGAGGATGTTTTGAGGCACACCTTGGGACAGCCAAACAAAGCCATGAAGGCTGTCCTCCCCACCCTCATCCCTGACCACTAGTTCAGGGAACACCTCTGCAAACCAGCCAGGTGGCCAAGCCAGCTAAAAACAGAGAACACTATACTTGATTTAAATTATAAGTTCAGTACTATACTGTACACATCCAGCATTACACACGCTTAACACAATATAAGTATGCATAATGACATATCAAGTCTCACTTTAAAAGTAAACCAGAAGCAGGGAACAATAAATTTAAAACTACTAAATGTCCTCATTTTCCATAAAGTTAAAATGTTTGTTATATACACACTGGCTGCTTCAAGCCTTAGGCATGTGGGCAGAAAGTGGAGAAAATATTCCAGCTAAGAATAATCCCATGTTACAGGTATTTAAGAATCTTTTTAGCCAAATCAAAGAAGATTATCTTAAAAGCCCAGGGCCTGTTTCCAGGCTGAATGGTTGTAGAAGGAGCTGTCCCCTAACCCATGTGTTCTTCTTTACAGGTTCTGGAGGTACCAAGCTGGAGGAGATCTATTCTGATTCCCAGGGTGACTTCAGTCTCTGGGGTAAAGCAGCTGGCCATCTCTGGTTCAGTGGAGTCTCCACCCTGGAACTCCGCCCAGGTCCAGAGGGCTGCTCTAGACTCATGGGAACCATTCTAACCTGTCAAGCCCAGAGGCAGCATGGCTGAAATTTGACAGCAGCCTCCTATAACTGCAGCTTTCAGGCTAAGTGGATAATTCAGTCCTCCCCAGGAGAATACTTGCCAATTAAACACGGTTTGTTTGTTGTTTGCAATTTTTATATGATCCACAAAAATGGCCAAGCTTGTGATTAATAGCACCATGAAAACACAGATAATGGTAGAAAACAGGATAATAAAATGAAGTTGCTTTTGATTCTGGGCCTGTTTCCTACCACTAATATCAACAAAGTAAACCATTTTAAATGAATTTGGGGAACTAAGATGTTTTTCTAGAGCAAAAATCTTCTTGTAGGAGAATATAAGCAAAGGATATAATTTATCAATATTCTCCCTACAAGATAAATATATATTATTGTATATATGTGTGTATATATACAATTTTATTAAGCAGAAGAGGAAAAAAAGGTCAACATAGCTCCTATTCAGAATGGTGCAAGCTGTCAAGTTCGCACGTAGACATATTTTTAAAAGGAAAACTGAGGGGAAAAGAAGACATCTTAACTCTTGATAGAGTGATCGACTCAGGTCCAGAAATTAAAGGAGAGTACTGTGTAGGTATTAATATATTGGTGACATCCCGGAAATAAAACAGCTACAGTTGTGAACAATCTCCCTCTACCGTCTGATTTCAAAAGGAATGCTCATGCCTACAGAAAGAAAAGGTAGTCTGTTCACAAAAATGAGGACAGATGCTGGCCCTTGGCTGCCCATTAGCTTTGCAGATTAATACCATTGGCATCTTTAATTTATTTTTTTTTTGTGTGTGTGTGTAGATGCGTTTGTTTTACTGGCTGGTGCATTTTAGGAGCAGAAGCAGAGAGACAGGGACTCTATCCCAGTGAGGTCTGTTTGTTCAGCCCACATGAGCGGGGCCTTCTATAAGGCTAGTTGCAAGAGGGTGTTTGTTTTGAGAGAACCCAACAAGAGTGAGGCAGTCTGTTAAAATTGCTATCCACTGATAGAGTCACTGGTCCAGATTGAACAAAACATCAGCAGGAGATGTAAGTCACAAAACCCGTCAGATTCTCTGTGGTCTAGGAATTGAAGGCATCTCGTACTTCCAAGTTGCAGGGAACTGGTCAACGTGGTTCATGCCTGGGTACCAGAGAGTGGCAGAAATTATGGGGTCACATCTGTAACAAAAATTAAGCATAAATTCTTTAAAAGTATATGCCATTTCCCTTCAACAGGTTTCCCCCTTTCCCTCTCATACCCTAATCCACACACATAGACACACACCATCTGAATTCTTCCCTATATTTCAAGACCCAGCACCAGTTCCTCATTTTTAAGTTTTACTTTTCCCACTCTCAAGGCCTATAAGACATTCTCTTAACTTTTCATTCTAGCTGCTGCTGGCAGGGAGGGGGCCACCTTCCTGAATGTCCCTGCTCCAATGCAGTAGCCCCACTGTGCATCTTCCTGCTTCTCTGCTTTTCCTGAAGAATTGAGAACAGGCTCATCCCAAGCACTGGGCACATCTCAGGGATGAGGGAGAGCAAATGGCCCTAGCAGGCAGCTCCAATCCAGTGGTGATTGAATGAGTAGATGAATGCCCCATATGCTGTCTTCAAGAGAACAATTCTGGGGGGCCCTCTGTACATTTTGCAGACAGTGGTGAAGTCAGGCCTCTGTGATCTATCGCTGAGACCTTGGAAATGCATCTCCAACCACCCGTTGCCTTTTTTCCTTGCTGTCTCATTCCCTTATCTGCCACACCACCGCTTTTCCTGGGATCACCTCCCAAGTAAACTACTGGCAACCCAAGTCCCCATCTCATAGTCTGCTGTCAGGGACCCAAAGGAAGATAGAACACATTATTATGAATACAATGATTGGGATAATTTTTTTTTCAATTGCAAAATAATAAAACAAAACTCTTTGCAACTATCAAAGCTATGGTATTAACTGCCTAGGGAACCAAACAAGTTATTGAACACTGTGGGCATCAATTTCTGTTATCTAAAAAAAGGAGGAGATGGACTAACTGTGCATTTTTAGCTCTCTTTACTGCTAAAGTTCCATGACAACAGAAATTATGTCTCTGCCCTCAATACAGCCCTTCACCACTAAGTGTAGCAAAAATGCAGTGACTTCTTTTTCCTTACATACTTCACATCATTCCAGCCTAAAGATGTAAGACATACAAATTTTCCACAATGGAAGCTCCAGACTTTCTGGATGTTCCTCAAACTAGGCAGCACCCAGTTCTAAATCTCAAAAGAATTGGGGCTGGGGTTGTGGCTCAGTGGTGGAGTGCTCACCTAGCATGCGTGGGGCACTGGGTTTGATCCTCAGCACCACATAAATATAAAATAAAGATATTGTAAAAAAAAAAAACCTAAAAAATAAATATTTAAAAAATAATAGGTCACTTCCACCTAACATTTCCGAGGCCAACCAAGGTTCCTAGACTTGCCTTCTCTTTGCATAGAAACAACAATATCTTCATTAATTTCTCCTAATCCCATCCCCTGTAGCATCAAACCAGATCTCTCTTCCTAATCTCAGTGCAAGATTTTCAAACATCAGTGTAGTCCCCACAGCACCATATTCAGGTACTGTCACTTAACTCACACTCAAATATTCATCACATGATTTAATAAATTTTTCAACAAGGAAGATTTAGAGTCCTTCCAGTTTTTTTGAAATAACAATTGGGAAATTGCTTCAATGAAGTTGTGGCTTGTGGACTTTTTATTTGGTTACTTACTTTTAATAGAAATATAGCTTGTGTTTAATATATTGAAAATAATATTCTGCAGAGGGCATCAATTCCATTGAGGTGAAAACCCACATTTTTACAGAAAACATTAGGCCTTAGGGATATCTATCTTTCCTTTAAAAAAATTAAAATTCCAGGCTTAATATAAACAACCCTCTTCTCTCCCCAAATCTCCAGGTGGAGCTGTACCTGCAAGTCTCGGTTTCTTCGCTGCGTTCACGGCTGCCATGAACATATAGTCACTATTCGGGTCATGCACACTGGATCCATACTTCTGAAAGAAAAAGTCAGAAACATGGTTCATCATCTGCTCTTTGTCATCTTCATGCCTATTTTCTATTCTTTGTGGAAGAGGTATGTGACAAAATTCCTGGCTGTAGGTTAAACATAATAATACAAAAAGGCTTTAATACAAAGAGTTTTCTGCCCAATTTTCTTCCTCATTTTTGCTCTTTATTATTCCTTCCCCAGTAAACTTGGATTGTGGCACTTTCTCTTCTTCTTTCTTCTTTCCTCCATTTCAGATTCTGTTCTGACACAGATACGCACACCATCTGACCAACAACCACACCCTGTATGCCCTGGAGCTCTAACACACATGCACAATATGCAGAATAGCATAGGTTCTTTGATTCAGAGCCTACAATGTAAAAGACTAAAAAGGATGTCCTACAGACATTCTTAATGGGTTTGTTGTTGTTGTTGTTAGTTAGTTTGTTTGTTTATTTTGCCATCTTTTATTTCTCCAAATAGCTTTTCAGGATTTTTCATTAAAAGCAAGGAGTCTGGATCCCTTCAAGATGGCCGCGAATAGAGTGCATCACACCCCGTGTACCGCGTCACTGCGCAGGTGAATAACGAGTTAGAACGACAAAAAACTATCTTGTTAGGACTTTACAGCAAAATGGGGGTGCACCGAAACCTAGAGGAAGGATTTCCAGCACCGAGGTCTGGTAATTGAATCTCAAACACGAGCCAACTGTGCGACCGGAGATCCAGGCTGACTGATCCGTGCTGCCCGCCCCGCAGCTACAGACGGCGGGGCGCCGCCGAGAAGCGACCAGCAAGCAGAGAGAATCGTTGCTACAGATTCTGTGGAATCCTACCGGCTGTGCCCTCACTGAGCCCTGGGCTGAGTTCGGGATTTCAGGCGGGGAAGGAAACGGTCCAGTTCTATCCCCCACAACGGAAACTCCACCAAGGAAGCCAGCGGCCACCATCTTGGAGAGCTGACATAACCACCGCCAATCTCCGACAGATTGCAACAATAAAACAGGTGTGTGTTACTCAACCCATCTCCCATACAGCAGGGAATTCGCATAAAATCTCTCCTAGGCTTTCCGGGGGAGGGATTATCAAAATGAGGCTGCATAAAGACGCGGGGAAAGCTAGAGACACCTGACCTCCAACTCCCCCTCCCATCAGCGGCGAAAACGAAACCTGTCTTGCCAGCGCTGGGGGAGGGGCAAGCGGGAAAAATCAAAACAATACAGTGCCGGGGTTCCCAATAGCCACCCTCCACACCCAGCAAACGGCAGGCCCAGAGTACAGTTTGAACTGCCGAGAGGCATCACTCAGGGGAAGACTGGTCTAGCAGGAGAAGCCAGGACTAGCAGGAGAAACCAGGGGACTAGAGGCCAGGTCCTTGCGACTGGGCGGCTAGAGATCGCCCGCCCGCCGGCGACTGGGAGCTGAAACCAACCAGAGACAGTCCAGTCCAACCCCCCCATTCGGACACCCCTGCAAGGAGCCTGGGGCCTGCCATAGCAGAGAGGTGATGTCACTGGAGCCCAGCCATCGGAATTCCTTCCCAGCGGAATCCACTTTAGCAGGCATAGTCTACCAACACAAAGGAGAGACAACAGAGATATACAAAACCAAACAAATCTATAGGAGAGAGCAGAAATACAGCAATCAAATAGAGCTGGAAAGTAACGTGAACAACATGAAAAAACAAGGGAAAAAAGGAGTACAAACAATGCAGGACAACTGAAATCTACAGGAGGCCCTAGAAGCATCAGAAACATGGATAGGGAAAGAACTCAAGGCATACCTAACTCAGATGGAAAGGAATATTAGAGAAGACATTAGACAGCAAGTCCAAGCAATGAAAGTATACTTTGAAAACGAATTAAACAAACAAATTCAAATGGCAAAGAACGAGCTTTACCAGGAGATAGAGATCTTTAAAAAAAAATCAAACAGTAATCCTAATAATGCAGGAAACTATAAACCAAATTAAAAACTCAAACGAGAATATTACAAATAGACTAGATCAAGTAGAAGTAAGAACATCAGATAATGAAGACAAAGTGTATCAACTTGAAAAGAATATAGTCAACACAGAAAAGATGCTTAAATCTCATGAGCAATCTATTCAAGAGATATGGGATTTCATAAAAAAAAAACAAATTTGAGAGTCATCGGGATAGAAGAAGGCATAGAGATTCAAACCAAAGGAATGGACAACCTATTGAATGAAACAATCCTAGAAAACTTCCCAGAGATGAAAGATGGAATGGATTGCCAAATCCTGGAAGCCTACAGGACCCCAAACATTCAAAACCGTAATAGACCAACTCCAAGACACATAATTTTGAAGATATCCAACATACAGAACAAGGAGAGAATATTAAAAGCTACGAGAGAAAGGAGGCAGATTACATTCAGGGGTAAACCAATTAGGTTAACGGCTGATTTTTCATCACAGACTTTGAAAGTGAGAAGATCCTGGAACAACGTATTTCAAACACTGAAAAATAATGGATTCCAACCAAGAATACTGTATCCAGCAAAATTAAGCTTCAGATTTGACAATGAAATTAAAATATTTCACGATAAACAAAAGCTAAAAGAATTTGCAGCCAGAAAACCAGCACTGCAAAGCATTTTGAGCAAAATACTACAAGAAGAGGAATTGAAAAATAGTGCCCAAAACTAGCAGCAGGAGGTATCTCAGTAAAAGGGGAGGAAAATAACCAAAAAGTAAAAACTAGCCAAACTAAAATAAATAAATAAATAAATATGACTGGAAGTACAAACAATATTTCAATTGTAACCTTAAATGTTAATGGCCTAAATTCACCAATCAAGAGACATAGGCTAGTAACCTGGATCAAAAAAACAAATACAACAATATGCTGCCTTCAGGAGACTCATATGATAGGAAGAGACATACACAGGCTGAAGGTAAAAGGTTGGGAAAAATCATACCACTCACATGGCCCTCAGAAGCAAGCAGGAGTGGCCATACTCATATCGAATAAAATCAACTTCAAACCTAAGTTAATCAAAAGGGATAAAGAAGGACACTATATACTGTTAAAAGGAACCATCCACCAACAAGACATAACAATTATCAATTGGTATGCACCAAACAATGGTGCTGCAACGTTCATAAAACAAACTCTCCTCAAGTTCAAGAGTCAAATAGACTACAACACAATAATTATGGGTGACTTCAACACACTGCTCTCGCCATTAGACAGATCCTCTAGACAAAAGCTGAATAAAGAAACTATAGAACTCAATAGCACAATCAATAACCTAGACTTAACTGACATATATAGAATATATCAACCTTCATCAAGTGGATACACATTCTTCTCAGCAGCACATGGATCCTACTCAAAGATAGACCATATATTATGCCATAGGACAACTCTTAGTAAATATAAAGGTGTGGAGATAATACCATGCACCATATCTGATCATAATGGAATGAAACTGGAAATCAATGATAAAAGAAGGAAGGAAAAATCCTACATCACATGGAAAATGAACAATATGTTACTGAATGATCAATGGGTTACAGAAGACATAAAGGAGGAGATAAAAAAATTCTTAGAGACAAATGACAATACAGACACAACATACCGGAATCTATGGGACACAATGAAAGCAGTTTTAAGAGGGAAATTCATTTCTTGGAGTTCTTTCCTCAAAAAAAGAAAAAACCAACAAATAAATGAACTCACACTACACCTCAAAAACCTAGAAAAGGAAGAGCAAAACAACAGCAAATGTAGTAGAAGACAAGAAATAATTAAAATCAGAGCAGAAATCAACGAAATTGAAACAAAAAAAAAACATTGAAAAAATTGATAAAACTAAAAGTTGGTTCTTTGAAAAAATAAATAAGATCGACAGGCCCTTAGCCATGCTAACGAAGAGAAGAAGAGAGAGAACTCAAATTACTAACTTATGGGATGAAAAAGGCAATATCACAACAGACACTACAGAAATAAAGAAGATAATTAGAAAGTATTTTGAAACCCTATATTCCAATAAAATAGAAGATAGTGAAGATATCGATAAATTTCTTAAGTCATACGATCTGCCCAGATTGAGTCAGGAAGACACACACAATTAAAACAGACCAATAACAAATGAAGAAATAGAAGAAGCCATCAAAAGACTACCAACCAAGAAAAGCCCTGGACCGGATGGGTATACAGCGGAGTTTTACAAAACCTTCAAAGAAGAATTAAAACCAATACTTTTCAAGCTATTTCAAGAAATAGAAAAAGAAGGAGCTCTTCCAAATTCATTCTATGAGGCCAACATCACCCTGATCCTGAAACCAGACAAAGACTCTTCAAAGAAAGAAAACTACAGACCAATATCTCTAATGAACTTGGATGCAAAAATTCTCAGTAAAATCCTGGTGAATCAAATACAAAAGCATATCAAAAAAATTGTGCACCATGATCAAATAGGATTCATCCCTGGGATGCAAGGCTGGTTCAATATACGGAAATCAATAAATGTTATTCACCACATCAATAGACTTAAAGATAAGAACCATATGATCATCTCGATAGATGCAGAAAAAGCATTCGACAAAGTACAGCATCCCTTTATATTCAAAACACTAGAAAAACTAGGGATAACAGGAACTTACCTCAACATTGTAAAAGCTATATATGCTAAACCTCAGGCTAGCATCATCCTAAATGGAGAAAAACTGAAGGCATTCCCTCTAAAATATGGAACAAGACAGGGATGCCCTCTATCACCACTTCTATTCAATTTAGTTCTTGAAATACTAGCCAGAGCAATTAGACAGACAAAAGAAATTAAAGGCATAAAAATAGGAAAAGAAGAACTTAAATTATCGCTATTTGCGGATGACATGATAATATATTTAACAGACCCAAAAGGGTCTACAAAGAAACTGCTAGAGTTAATAAATGAATTCAGCAAAGTGGCAGGATATAAAATCAACACGCATAAATCAAAGGCATTCCTGTATACCAGCAACAAAACTTCTGAAATGGAAATGAGGAAAACCACTCCATTCACAATATCCTCAAAGAAAATAAGATATTTGGGAATCAACCTAACAAAAGAGGTGAAAGATTTATACAATGAAAACTACAGAACCCTAAAGAGAGAGATAGAAGAAGATCTTAGAAGATGGAAAAATGTACCCTGTTCATGGATAGGCAGAACTAACATCATCAAAATGGCGATATTACCCAAAGTTCTCTACAGGTTTAATGCAATGCCAATCAAAATCCCAATGGCATTTCCTATAGAAATAGATAAACCAATCATGAAATTCATATGGAAAAACAAAAAACCCAGAATAGCAAAAGCAATTCTAAGCAGGAAGTGTGAATCTGGAGGTATAGTGATACCAGATCTCAAACTGTACTACAGAGCAATAGTAACAAAAACAGCATGGTACTGGTACCAAAACAGGCAGGTGGACCAATGGTACAGAATAGAGGACACAGAGACCAATCCACAAAATTACAACTTTCTTATATTTGATAAAGGGGCTAAAAGCATGCAATGGAGGAAGGATAGCATCTTCAACAAATGGTGCTGGGAAAATTGGAAATCCATATGCAACAAAATGAAACTGAATCCCTTTCTCTCGCCATGCACAAAAGTTAACTCAAAATGGATCAAGGAGCTAGATATCAAATCAGAGATACTGCGTCTGATAGAAGAAAAAGTTGGCTACGATCTACATACTGTGGGGTCGGGCTCCAAATTCCTTAATAGGACGCCCATAGCCCAAGAGTTAATAACAAGAATAAACAAATGGGACCTACTTAAACTAAAAAGTTTTTTCTCAGCAAGAGAAACAATAAGAGAGGTAAATAGAGAGCCTACATCCTGGGAACAAATTTTTACCCCTCACACTTCAGATAGAGCCCTAATATCCAGAATATACAAAGAACTCAAAAAATTAAACAATAAGATAACAAATAACCCAATGAACAAATGGGCCAAGGACCTGAACAGACACTTCACAGAGGAGGACATACAATCAATCAACAAGTACATGAAAAAATGCTCACCATCTCTAGAAGTCAGAGAAATGCAAATCAAAACCACCCTAAGATACCATCTCACTCCAGTAAGATTGGCAGCCATTATGAAGTCAAACAACAATAAGTGTTGGCGAGGATGTGGGGAAAAGGGTACACTTTTACATTGCTGGTGGGACTGCAAATTGGTGCAGCCAATTTGGAAAGCAGTATGGAGATTCCTGGGAAAGCTGGGAATGGATCCACCATTTGACCCAGCTATCGCCCTTCTCGGACTATTCCCTGAGGATCTTAAAAGAGCGTACTATAGGGATACTGCCACATCAATGATCATAGCGGCACAATTCACAATAGCTAGACTGTGGAACCAACCTAGATGCCCTTCAATAGATGAATGGATAAAAAAAATGTGGCATTTATACACAATGGAATATTACGCAGCACTAAAAAATGACAAATCATGGAATTTGCAGGGAAATGGATGGCATTAGAGCAGATTATGCTAAGCGAATCTAGCCAATCCTTAAAAAACAAATGCTAAATGTCTTCTTTGATATAAAGAGAGCAACTAAGAACAGAACAGGGAGGAAGAGCATGAGGAAAAGATTAACATTAAACAGAGTCGAGTGGGGGGAGAGAAAGGGAGAGAGAAGGGAAATCATATGGAAATGGTAGGAGACCCTCAATGTTACACAAAATTACACATAAGAGGTTGTGAGGGGAAAGAGGGGGAAACAAGGGAGAGAATTGAACAACAGCAGATGAGGTAGAGAGGGAAGATGGGAGGGGAGGGGAGGGGAGGGTGGATAGTAGGGGATAGGAAAGGTAGCAGAATACAACAATCACTAATATGCCATTATGTAAAAATGTGAGTGTGTAACCGATGTGATTCTACAATTTGTATTTGGGGTAAAAATGGGAGTTCATAACCCACTTGAGTCAAATGTATGAAAGATGATATATCATGAGCTTTGTAATGTTTTGAACAACAAATAAAAAAAAAAGAAAAGAAAAAAAAGAAGATGAAAAAAAAAAGCAAGGAGTCTAGTAACTTGCCAGGGAATGAAGCTAGAATTTCCTTTTCAGTGACTACTAGTACATTATAATATTTTCTCATTGGTATTCTTCACTTACCAGTTATGTGAGACTTTCAACTAATTGTTTCATCTTTTCCCTGACTCTTAGGAAGCTCAGATACAAATTTGCAGCCCACCTTTAGTAATTTTAAAAATCAGAGACATCTATTTTTAAGTTTTAACCTCCTTCCTAATCTATTGTCTTCCATAGACCCCAATTTTCTATCTTTTTAATAATAATAATAATCATAACATATCTCTATAAGCTACTGAGTCCTTTTGGAATAAAGTGAGCTACAAAATAAACAAATAAATAACCTCTGTTCCAAGTTCTTATTAGTTTAATTAGTAGGTATATCTCAGGGAAAAGGACCTGTCAAACCTTTTGATCAAATAACTCTGGCAAAGAGCAATGTGTATTTTCTAGCAAAGAGCAATATATATTTTGTAAATATCCACTCAGGAAAGCATATGCAAGAAGAGATAGAAATTGCTCACCTTTTTTGTAAACCGAAAAATAAAATAACATCCCAAAGTGTACACTATCACAAAAGCTGCACATCCAATGGGTAACCAGAACTTTAGCTGGCAACAAAGCTGTGATTCTGGGTTGGAAAAGAGACACATTGATTAAAAAACAAATAAACACAACCTCCAAGAATCAAATCTCTTTCAGTGCTGAATCTCTAGTTCTTTCATAGAATTTAAAGGAGCTATTAGTCCAATAAAGCTTTGCTTCATTACCATCAAGAAACTCAGTAAATGATAGCCAATATCACCTCAGTATTATAGCAAGGATCCAGAAACTAATACTTTAAAAACTACAAATATATGTTTATAAATATAGTCAATACTGTATTTTATAAAATAGTAAGTAGGAAAAGTAATGCTATAGAACTATGATTTTTCAATCATCGCACTTCATTCCACAAACCCAGCAGCACACACCCACTTTATACCTTCGATTAATAGGTAATCACAATTAATCCATGAATTGAGGTATTGCCTTAAATTGTTCTGTTTTTCATTGGCATATGTATTTTAAAGACAACATAACCTAATTCTAAGTCAACAGTGTTAACAGTCTATGTGATTAAACTACATATTACCAATAAATGCCAATTATGATTAATAAGTCATCTCTTATATATTTCATCAAAAATGATCTGCCCTCAACTATACCTAAATGAACTCCAACAGAAAAAGTACTTGCTTAATTGTTTTCATTAATGAGAAAAGTTGTCAGAATGTATATGTCCTCTTAAGCCCCAAACATAAAAGCAATGTCTTACCATAAATATGCAAATATTCTCTGCTAAGAATCTTTTCTTCAAAAGGAGGAGGATCAAAAATTGATAGGTTGCAGACATAGTAGCTGCCATGAGAATTATCCAAGTTATTCAGAAAAAAGGAGACACTGTTGTTGGATAACTGAGATTGGCAGAATTTCATGTTATTAATGGACACCACGTTTCCACTTGTCTTTATCTTAGTGAGTTCACAGAGTACTTGCCTCCCCTTCAGTAACTCCATTTTAAACTGCTGGACTTTCTCAGGGTACTTGCATAAAATTTGTACACCTCCATTGTGAAATGTAAACATATCAAAATTGGCGGAATCATCAATTTCTCCTGGATAAAAAGAAAGAAAACAAAGCAAAAGTGATATTTTGTGAATATATTGCCCTAATAATTATATTTAATCATAAAACTAATCTCTTGTCTTCATAAAGTCACCTCTATTGCACCAAAATGAAAGATTTTCATGTACAGGCAAACACAGAAAAGAATATAACAAAAGGTAAAACTGTGACCCAGAAAAAAAAACTAATTAGAACTGTGCTTCTCTGATATGAATAAGTGATATGTAAAACATTAAGTATTAAATAACACATGTAAATAGACTAAATCAAACAAACATGGGCCCTCACAACAGAGACTCATGGTAAACTAATCAATATGCAGTGATACACCATAATTTATGCTAGGAATGGAGAACTATTCAGATGTCTGGTTGGGATGGGATAGGTTATAATATTGACTGGAGGATCAGAAATGCCCATTCAAAGAAATGACTTTTTCAAAATAGAAATTGAAAACTGGAGAGCTGTTGAACAAAGAGAGATTAAGAGAAAGACGCTGTTTAAGAGAAAAACACTTTTAAAAGTACAAAATATCCAAAGCTAAAATTGAACAATTATGTATATAAATAGATATTTACATTATACCCTCCAACTGCAGAATAAAAGAACAGATCAATTATGTTCAAATGCACCCAGAAATGAATCAAAGCCTGATAGTAAAGGTAAGGTTTCAGATTTTTGCTTACTTTCTCACTTTTTAAATAAACTTTAAGCTCAAAAGAACCAAAGTTCTTTTTGTGAGCTACATGGGTATCACAGGAGGAGAAAACTGAAATGGCTTTAGACTGGTTGCAGATTCTGAGCTACTAGTTCTTAAGTTCTTTTTTCACTTTTTCTGATTCTTGTATTTTTATTTAAAAAAAATTAAATTTGTTTTAATTAGTTATACACAACAGGAAAATGCATTTATAGACTTTGATATCTCATACATAGATGGGATATAATTTCTCACTTTTCTGAGTGTACATGTTGTAGAATCACAGAGGTCATGCAGTCACATATATACACACAGTAATAATGTCTGTTTCATTCTACTATCTTTCCTATCCCCAAATCCCCTCCCCTCCCCTCCCCTCCCGTCACTTTCCTCTACCTAATCTAAGTAAGGCTATTCTTCCCTAGTGCCTCCTGCCTTATTGTGAATTAGCAACAGTATATTAGAGAAAACATTCAGCCTTTGGTTTTGTGGGATTGGCTTATTTCGCTTAGCATGATATTCTCCAACTTCAACCATTTACTAGCAAATTCCATAATTTTACTCTTTAAAGCTGAGTAATATTCAATTGTATTTTTAAAAATATGATAAAGTTTCATTATGATATTGGAAAAAATTATTAGCATGATAATTTTTACTGACATTTTGAAATCTTTTTTCTTAAGATTAAATAAGTATAAAATTTTTAAGAAAAAATTCCCAATTCTCCAGTGAAATAGAAATACTATTTGTATGTTTTTGCTCTTTATCTTCCAGATACATGCTTATTTTACACAGCAAATATTATTTTGTGTTCTGCTATTGTCATTTAATGGCATATCATGAACATTTGATTTTTTAATGTAATTGTTTTGATTTTCTTTTTAAATGTTTACATGATGTTCCATCATGTTAATCTATCATAACCTAATGAAACTAATTCACTAAGGTGGGATAACAGGGGATTTTCAGCATTTAGCTTTTATGTAAATATTATGGTGTTTGGTCAAAACATTTAATATATTATGATAACAGTGCATCTTTTCATATAGCTTTCTTAATTAAGTGTTCCAATTTGCATTAAGACCAGTATCATACAGGAGGATCCATTTGCTACACCTCTTCTTGCACTGATTGCCTCAATTTCATTTAAAGTACACCACAATTATTTATTTTCCTTAATATCTCTAGGCTTAAACTTATGCCCCTTGTATTTCTAGGGAATAGATTTTCAGATTGGGGATTTGATTATGAAAAAAGCACAAATGTCTCAGTTTTCAGTTATGGCAGAACAGATTATTCAACAAGAAAATAACCAAAAATCCTGAACAAAATGTCTAAATATAATATTAAAAGGATAAATAGTTGAACAAAAGAGGAGAAAATATCAAGATAAATTTGAAAAGAGATCCAGAACCCAGACAAAGGAATAGAACTTAGAAGTTGCTTTCACTCTGAAAACATTTGTTGTTCTCCCAAGTTCAAACTTTTTTTTATATGTGTTTTATCTTGTAGGATCTGCAAAGTGAGGAATCTAGCAGACTTTATCCTCAATAATCTTGGTCCCCAAAGAGTTACATACTTGAAGTAAAGGAAATCAGAAGTAAACAAACTCTCATGAGGAGTTTATTCCACCTTCACGTCACTTCAATATTCCAAAAAACCTAAGTCCTTGAATTTGATTTGAGGAGATACTTAACTTTTATTACCACAGGTTTTAAAAGCAAAATCGCAATCTATTCTAAGAATAAGATTTAAACACTACAAATAACATTTAAATATAATGACAAGAAAACTATTTTTTATATATTTATATTTATATATATATTTAGTTTTTCGGCGGACACAACATCTTTGTTTGTATGTGGCGCTGAGGATCGAACCCGGGCCCGCACGCATGCCACGCGAGCGTGCTACCGCTTGAGCCACATCCCCAGAAAACTATTTTTAAAAAGCAAAACACACAAGGAATAAGGCAACAATAGGAACAACAGACTGAAAAAAGACAGTTGAGCTTGTTATGTTAAAGGAAATAAATGACAAACTCATAATAATATCAGCAGAACACAAGAAAAATTTTTAAGTTAACTGATTTGAAAGAACCAATTAGAACTGTTAAAAACATGGCACAAACTGAGATTAAAAACTCAATGAACAGTTTAAAAGCATATTAGACAAGGATATAGAGAGAATTGAAGAACTAAAAGATAGCTCAGAATGCACTCACAATCCACAGATACAAGAATCCCAATGAATCACAAGCAAACTATATTTCACCTACATATATCTTAGTGAGAATCCTAAAAGAAGCTAGAGAAAAAAAATGACTTATTACTTTCAAAGAAGCAACTGTTACACTGTCAAGTGAAATCTCAGCATCAGCAGCAAAAGCCATGATGCAGTGGAATTACATATTATATTTTCAATGTGCTGAAAGAAACTACCTGTCAACCTAGAACATTCTCTCTAGGAGGACAGTAAAGGTATTTGCCACTTGAAACTTTGATGGTGAAGCATGAATGTTGAGACTTCTTGCATGATCACTAAAAGAACAAAACTAGAATTTATACCCTAAATAAGTATCACAAAACTCAGCCTAATAGTTTTGTCTAAAGTTGGGAGGGGTGGATTAGAATGATGAAGGAAACACACAGAGGTGAAAAGCCTTCTGTGTGTGGACAATGTTTTATTTCTTGGCCTGTGGTTATTATAAGGAGTGGGATAATATGCTTTACCATTATTTTTTAAATTGTGCATTTATGTTTTGGTCACATTTCTATATAGACATTTTGTTTAACAATAAATGTCAAGTATATGGAGAGGAAATAATCCTTGTTTCATTTTTTTAAACAGAAGGAACAAATTAATCAAAAAGGAAAGAACTGACAGCAGAAGATAGCAGCAGTCTACATTAGATAAAAATGAAGGGCATTTTGCTTGAGGATTTATTTGTCCTAGAGTGAATTTTGTTGTACAATTGTTATTTTGATGCTTTTTTCTCTACCATCTACTGCAGAAGATAAGATCAGCAGACTGGTTCTCTTGAAATTGTTCAGAGCAAATTTCCCAGAGACTTTAGGATGGCAGCAAGTAAACCACAAAGAGGTCTTGGGGCAAAGGTGTCTGCTGCCACTGTATACACAAACGAACATAGATGCATTGTGTTCTGTTTTTGAAGATAACTTGGTCAGCAGTTTTTCCCCCTTTTGTGCAGACTCTGTGATCTACCACCCAACATAAGTTGAAATGTAATGGTGGATGTACAATGCACTGTTTCTCAAGGAAACCAAAAACAAATTCTGGTCTAGCGAGGCTCTGTGACTAGGGTCCCCCTCTAAACTTCAGTCTCTTCATCTGTGAAATAGGAAATAAAATGGAAATATCTTTCCAAAAGTTACTTTCTCTGGATTATAAGAACATACCCTCCTGAGATTGCAAAAAAACCAAGAGAGCTAAAACATTGCAGTTGGGTGAGTTCTCCTTAGAGGAGGCCACATTCCCATAATCTTGTCTTTAAATGGAATATTCTAAGAAGTCAGGAAAATTAAAATGAATGCAACTACATTTCTTACCACAAAAGTATTTAGAAGGGCCAGGAAGGATTTCATTTTTCTTGAATGATAGTATCAAGTTGTGTGCCATTGACATCAAGTAGGGATTCCAACTTGCCACTTCTACTGGGCACTCTTAACTATTCCTTTTATCATGTTTTGCTATAAAACCACCTGAGTCACCTTTTCACTATGTCCGTAGTCTGTAGCAGTTAAGACGGCTGACTCAGGTTTCTCCATGCCCAATGCTTAAGCTTTCTATCTGGAAGTCATTTGGTGACTCCAAGTCTGCAATTTGAAGGTTTTCAACCATGGTAATTAATCCATTACTTCAAAATTATTTATGTTGATGCCTATAGAGCAGATATGTTCAAATACCAAACCACAAATAATTCTCCTCAGTCTTTGATAGCATTTTGTAAAAATAATATCAAAAGGAGAGCACTCATTACAATAATGATTAACAATTAGTGAATAGACAACTTATGGGAAATCTGAATATGTTCATGTATTATGACTGCAGAAATAGCTAGAATTGTTTCTTCGCCCCTTTTGATGTTCTGATCTTTGAGCCTAATATTCAACCTGGAGAATTGGTATAATTTTAATATCCAGTGTCTGCTTTGATTGGTTGGATGTCAAATCTGTCTGATTAATTGCTCTGCTATACCAGTAGTTAAAGCTTTATGAGTGTCATCCTCTTTGAGCTCTTTCTTCTTGCCATTTTTTTCATTTCTCTCATAT